ATATATTACTACATTAATACATATACATATACAAATATTTATACTTACAAATATATATATACGTATATATTTGCACGTATATATACATACATAAAATATATATTTATATACATAACATATGTTTGTATGTATAAATATATGTAAAATACATATTTATATATAAAATACTCGTATATTTGTATATACAAATACACATATATATAATATATACGTATATATAAAATTTATGTTTTATATATATTCGTATATTTATACATACAAATACATATATATGTATAATATACGTATATATAAAATTTATATTTATATGGAAATATTCGTATATTTATACGTACAAATACATACATATATATATACGTATATATAAAATATATATTTATATACATAATATATGTTTGTATGTATAAATATATGCATATATATATATATACGATTATATATATATATATATTTATATATATGATGATATATATAAATATATAATATATATATATATATGTAAAATACACATTTATATATAAAATACTCGTATATTTGTATATACAAATACACATATATATAATATATACGTATACATAAAATTTACGTTTTATATATATATTCGTATATTTATACATACAAATATATATATAATATACGTATATATAAAATTTATATTTATATGGAAATATTTGTATATTTATACGTATAAACATACAAATATTTATATATACGTATATATCAGATATAGTGACGCAATTGCGTCACTAAAAGGTGACTAAATTGCGTCACCAAAGGGTGACGCAACTATTTGCGTCACTCTTGTGTCACCTTTTTTCGTGACGCAAATTTTGCGTTATTTTTTGCGTCACCGTTTAGTGACGAAAATATTGCGTCACTATTTGCGTCACTTTTGCGTCACCATTTTAGTGACGTAAATTTTGCGTCACCTTTTGCGTCACCTTTTCCGTGTTTTCTAGTAGTGAAAGTGTTGCGGCCTATGTATCACAACTTCTTCGGGAGGGAACCTCTGTTTGCAACGTTTTGGAAGGGCTTGTCATCAATGACCCTGGCCGAGATTCTTATCAGTTGCAGGAGATTTCATCTCAATGATGGTGTTCAAGCTCAGTCAAATCCACCTGAGTTCTTGCAAATTAAGAGATGAGACGACGACGAGATGATGACAACGAGCGTGTTTTTTTTATAAAATGTATGGCTATGACCCGATATATATCTATATGACCCATGTGATCCCGCTGCGACCATCTCAACTGTATCGTTATGAATGATTGATAATATTGTTTCACTCCGAATAATATTGTTTCAGTTACGACTCGATTCAAGCATCTCACAAGTGTATCTTGTTCCCAAACCTTATGGCTACGACCCAAAATATATCGTTGTGTGGTCGGTAGAAGGTGTTGCTTCCACCACCGAAGTTACTTCATCTTTGTTCGTGTGCTTCCATCGACGCTCTCTTGTGCTTTTTTCAATTTCGCGTACCTTGTTTGTTTTCTCTATTACACACGCCTGTAGGTTGTTAGACAGGTTCCCTGACCTCGTCGCATGTTGCACTTGCCTATTGCATGTTATTGGTCTCGTTCGTAACCACAGATCGTCGGTTTTTGTAGACCTGCGCGCTCTGACCAAAGCCAACAAAAGGTCTAAGCGGGCGTTTTCACGTCCCGCAGGTCATATCCTCCTATTGCACGTCATGATTTTGCTTCATCGCATATCCCCCCTCGAGGCACAGGAACTAACCCCTCCCGCGTCACCTCCCGTAAAACCTGCGGTTTGCATTTTGAACTTTTGTCTGATGAGAGACATCACAGCTATGTGGCCGGTAGAAGGTGTTGCTTCCACCACCGAAGTTACTTCGTCTTTGTTCGTGTGCGTCCTTCGACGCCCTCATGTGCTTTGCCCGGAAGAGGTATCAGCAGACCGACTTTTTTCAATTTTGCATACCTTGTTTGTTTCCTCTATTAGACACGCCCGCAGGTTGTTAGGCAGGTTCCCTGACCTCGTCGCATATTGCACTTGCCTATTGCACGTTATTGGTCTCGTTCGTAACCACAGGTCGTCGATTTCTGCAGACCTGCGCGCTCTGACCAAAGCCAACAAAAGGTCTAAGCGGACGTTTTCATGTTCCGCAGGTCATATCCTCCTATTGCACGTCCTGATTTCGCTTCACCTCATGTCCCTCCTCGAGGCACATGACCTACACCCCTCTCGCGTCACCTCCCGTAAAACCTGCGGTTTGCATTTTAAACTTTTGTCTGATGAGAAACATCACAGCTATGTGGCCGGTAGAAGGTGTTGCTTCCACCACCGAAGTTACTTCGTCTTTGTTCGTGTGCGTCCTTCGACGCCCTCTTGTGTTTTGCCCGGAAGAGGTATCAGCAGATCGACTTTTTTCAATTTCGCGTACTTTGTTTGTTTCTTCTATTGTGACACGTCCGCAGGTTGTTAGACAGGTTTCCTGACCTCGCCGCATGTTGCACTTGCCTATTTCACGTTATACTACGAACATAATGCAAATACGTTCAGATAGTTAACGATAATTACGACCGCTACGAACATAATGCAAATACGACCATCTAATTAACGATAACTACGACCGTATCTACAACTATAGCAACTTACCATGAGTGGGATTACAATCCCATGAAGGGTCAACTGAAATTGTCGTTCTTTTCTATCTAATTTACTTTGTGTTATGTTATGGATTTGTTTGTTGTTCTGCAGGTTTCAAACCTAGACCTGCGTTGAACGGTGCAGTTCTTAAGAACTATCTAACACATGCGATACTAATTACTTTTCTCGCAGTTTTTCTCCGCAGGTGAGTAGTATTTTAAATTTTAATTAAAAGAAAAAATACTTACAAGCTATGCGACATGCGATACTGATTAGAGTGCAGTAATTTTTTTATTTGTTTTTGTTAAGTTTTTCTGATATTTTCTCTCCATTTTTTTCCGTTTCCCTCCCACTTCGGTTGCAAGGTGTTCTTGTCACTTTCGTTGTACCAGTAAAGATATGCAGGTCATTTTAGACTTAAAAAATATACAATGCAAAAATTGATAAATAAAAGTATACTTTGCAAAGATTTTTTTTTGGAAACACTAGCACTAATTTTCTTTTATTTTTATTTGCTTTTGTAATTTTGCATGCAATCGGCCAAACTAGACAAATTATGCTTAATCACATATCCATCGGAGGAGACATGTTACGAGTCAGTGTTAGCATAGTAGGGCGATCATACAAAACCGAACTAATCAGAATTATCCGAATTTCTACACAAAAAAACAAAATAATACGATTTTTCTGAAATTATAAAAACCGAATCCAAACTAAATATAATAATAATTTTTTTTTCAGTTGGTATTTATCAATAAAATTCGTAGATGAATATCAATAGATACCAAACCAAACCAAACTCATCCATACAAAAACCGAATTGTTATAATTTTTCAAAATAAAAAAAATATATGAATCATAAAATGACCTGAAATCGAACGGAAAGAACATAGTCTTAACAAATTCAAAGGCGGCTGACTAACCTGGAGAGTGACTGACGGAGGCCGGCAATGGGGGCTTATTCCGTTGAAGACAGACCCAGATTCCGAAGGCAGCGGAAGAAAAAAGGAAGAGAACGAAAAAAACTTCGACGACGAACCCTAGAGGGTCGCCCCCGCTGCCGGGACCTCCTCCATGACCATAAATGGTTTCGCACGAGACATGGATGTTGCCGATTCTATCCATGTTATCCGACATGTCTTGCATCTGTTTGTCGTATAGGTCCGACCAACCCGGAGACGACCCACAAGCCGCTCCTATATCACCATATACACATATATATATGCACAGTTTTTTTTTTAACTAAAATTCTTGATTAGTTATAACTTATAACATCATATTAAGCCGGTTTAGTTTTTTTTTGTATGAGCCGGTTTAATTTGGTTTACAATGTTTGAGTTGTATATATAAATACTATGCATACACACACACATGTGTGTAGATATAGACATTACCATTGGTGGATCCAACGAATGCCGACAGAGCTAAAAGAAGCGGAACGAATAAGACTCGACACATGGTGAGTTAGTTGTATATGCATATATACATATACATTTATATCTGAGGGTGTACGCGTCTATATATAAGATTGACGAATGGCCCTTTTCCCCCGAAAAAGCGTACAATTTGCGTTTTTATAATATAAGCAGTTTTAATTTATTTTTTTGAAACTGGGTTATATGAATAATAAGTCGACGCAAGCACGTAAAGAAGGTATTATAATTATATTCACATTTAAGAAAACATGGTGTTAGTTAACAATTTGGCATTCAAAATGTCTAAATTTAGAACATGGCGTACATTTCAATACGGATTTTTTTATATATTTGTTAAATTGCATACTGATATATTTTTTTATCATATCAATATTGTATGTATAGTAGTGCTACTGTAATGAGTCAATATACTTGGAAAGAGTCTTGATTATTACCACTAAAGAATATGGCTAGTGTATATATATTTACAATATTTTTCAAAAAAAAATTGAAGGGGTTAGCCGAAATGTATGGATTTTATTTAGTAGAATAAAATAAAATGTAAAACTGATAAAAAATCATTTTATTTAATATACGATTTTATAAAAAGTTAGCTAAATATACTAAAATTTTAAGGTAAATAGATGAACTCTTCTATAAGCTTCAAAAATTTAGAAATAACAAAATAAATTGTAAATTTTTAAATAATTTTCATAAAATTAAACTCTAAATTTTGAAATAACTTCCAAAATCCGTATGTTTTTTAGAACACAGTTACATATATATTTTTTTGGAATATTTTGAAATGTTAGGTTGTAATGTAGAATTTAATAAGAGTTTTTATATTTTTTGGAAAATTTATATTTAATATATTTATATGAGATTTGTTTTGGTATAATTTTTTTTACAAGATTAATAGCGGTTTTGCCAAAACTGAATAAACCGATTCAAACTGAACCAGATAATACCGAACCAACGATTGCAGACTTGTTTCTCGAGTTTTGACTCCGTGTTCGTCCTAGCCCTAGCCCTAGTTTGTGAGGTTGATCCCTCGCTTGAGCTCCGATTTTGAAAACCCAGATCCTCAAATCAACTCTACTTGCTTCGCCGGCTTCAACGGCGTCGTGGAAGAGGCCGAAGAACGAAGACGAAGACGAAGGCGAAGAAGCACACCACGACGAATACTTTGTACGTTGTGGGAGGAGAAGCAGAACCAGAAGTGACTCCTCTTCCGACAGCTTGGGTCGCCTCGCTGTAGATTGCATCTGCGTCTGAATTCGCCGGAGATTGCTGTCGTTCCAATCGTTTCGTCGAATTCTCGAGCTTCGTCTCCCGCTCCTCCGTCCTTCGTCGATGAAATTTCTCCACCTCCCTTTTCTCTTCTTGTTCTTCAGCCGCTTAACTTCTCGCTCTTGATTGGTCATCAATCTTCCAGTTAAGGTGCATTTCCTAGATGGGTTTCTTTTGTTCTGGGTGGTGAGGGTTGTTTTTCTGTGAAATTGTGGCTAATTTCGACGTATTTTTACCCTTTTCTTGTTTTGGCTCAAGCGAATTGGAGAAAGATGGCAATGAGAAGGTTCTCTTGATGGGCTACGCTAAGCTCCGAGTATGTGTCTTGTTGTTTCTGGATTTACGTTATTTCATGATTTTGTTCATCTGTTCGTTTCGATTTTCGGCTGAATTCGACAGACATCTTTCATTACCCAATACTCTGTGTTAAAGTTTGATTTCACCTTCTGGGGTTCGGTTTGAAGAGTTTGGTTGTGTCTGCTGTTGGAATTTGAGATAATTGATGAACTTGATTATGTATGGATCTGTCTGAGGTTGTTTGGTTTTCTGTTTTAGGATTATTGATATCGACAATGATGGATAGAGCTGGAGTTTTTAAATACTGTGGCTGGTGGAGAAGATAGCAATGAGGGGTCATCATTACCGAGTCTTTTCCTTGGAAACACAAGATCAAGTAAGTACTGGAAAAGAACACTGCCATTCATGGGCTTGGGATTGTTCTATCCGGACATTTTTAATTAATTATACTTACATTATGGTTTGGTAGATCACCGTAACCTTCTGGCAAAATTGTAGGATTACTTTAGATTAGATGTCTTAGTAGGGCCTGTTCGGTGGATACAAAAGAGATTATTGAAGCTGGTTTATGATTTAGGACAACTAAAATCTCTTTTGAATACTCTCTGAACTCTGTGATGTTCGTTTCAAATCTTCTCTCGTTCTTACATCCCTTACTTCCTGATTTCATAATTGCATGTGTAGTGCATCTCCTTGGACTTATGTTGTTGTCGTTGCTATGTTTGTGAGATCCTATCTTGGATTTATTTCTTACTTTTCAATTTTTGTTGTTCTGTGCAGCTCGTGGAATTCAGTTCTTTTCGAGTGTTCACAGTACATCCGAGAAAAAGGTCACTACTATGATGCCTCAAGGAGCCTGGAATTTTATCAAGAATTTCTGAGAGCTGTTCCATAGAGGGAATTCTTAGAGCTTCTTTCAGTACAAAAAAGAAAAGCTCAGGTTCGTTCATAAGCAAAATGATCGAGAATTTGAAAAAAAGTAACAAGGTGGTAAAGAAGCAAGCTATAAAAGGATATCCTGGAGCAAACCCTCAGCCTTTATGCAAAAAGCCTACAAACAAGAATCGAAGCAGGAAGATCAATAACCCCAAACAACTGCGAGAATTACCCCAAGATTCTAGGTTTCCTAATAAGCCGTGGATCTGTAAGAACTATGCTTGCAGAAAATTCCTATCAGCGAGTGAAAAATTCTGCAAAAGATGCTCATGTTGCATCTGTGGAAAATTTGATGACAACAAGGATACTGGAAAATGGCTGGAATGTAAGTATCAGTCGGGTGATAATGAGAGAGACAAATGTAATCATTCTTGCCATGTTGAATGTGCTTTGGAGAAGCATGATGTTGGTGTTGTCTATCATGGGCCATCAATGCAGCTGGACGGTGGTTACCGTTGTTGTTTTTGCGGCACAGTTTCAGGAATTCTGGAGTAAGTCTGCAATTTTTAATCTAATAAGGTTTTGATTCTATTTCACTCTTGCTTCTTTTCCTATCCTGTAAAAGCAATGCTTGATGTTTTTCTTTGGGGATTCTCCTAGTCTCCTTTAATGGTGATGGCACACATACATGATGATGTTTAGGACATTGTGGTCAATACCTGAAACTGATCAAATGTTTTTCAGAAATATTTTACTGGGTTTAGTTGCATCGACATGTTAGGAACAAAATCTTGTTCTGAGAGATTATTTTCTTGAGTGATGGGTCTGACTTGTGTTGTGTTTTCCTTTCTCTTTCCTTTTTGTGGTTTGTTTCCTACAGCTTTTGGAAGAAGCGGCTGGTTATAGCAAAACACACAAAGTGTCTAGACACACTATCTTATAACATCAACTTGAGCTGCAGGCTTCTTGATGGGACTTTTAAGTTTAAAGATCTGCATACTATTGTGAATGATGCAAAGGCAAAACTCGAGAGCGAGATTGGTCCGACGGATATGGATTCAGCCGGTACACTTCGTGGTCTTGTTGGCAGACTCTCAGTAGCAGAGCATGTTAGAAACTTATGCTCTCTTGCTATTGAAAAGGCTGATCAATTCTATCCATTTGATGCCTATCCGTTGACCAGAGGTCGGAATCTAAATCACCAGTTTCTATCTTTGTAAACTAAGGTTTTTGATTCGGCTAATTGTGTGTCTAAGTAAGAACCCACCATCTTTCTTGACAACTTTTCCTGAAATGTCGTCTAACTTGTTGTTGCTCCTTGTTTTTGCAGCTCGTGCATGTAATTTTGTATGCGACGAAGTAACTTTGTCATCGGTACAGATTACCGTGTTAGGGACGTTCTCTGCTATGGCTCCTGATGGGTTGAAGGGATATAAACTGTGGCACCACAAGACAAAAGATGAAATTCGACCTGAAGAACCAACTCATCTGATTCCGACTACTCCAAAACCGGTTACAATCTCCGGTCTTAAACCAGCCACCAAGTACACTTTCTGTGTTGCTGCATATTGCGAGACTGGTGATTGGGGTCACTCCGAGACTAGTTGTGTAACCAAAGGAGGTGATGATGAGTTACTTGAAATCTATCAGAATCATATGGATTTCGAGAGAGAAAGCCTGAGCGACAAGGAGCTGAACAATGGAACAGGGAACAGTTCTTCTGGGCACCGGGTCCGAAATCTCGGCATTTCTTTGCGTTTGGCCGGAGCAGATAAGCTTGGTAGTAGCTCCTCCAGAGGGCTCATTTGTGCTGTGGATATGGAGGAGGAATGGAATGGGGACATGCCGGGTAACTCAGGACGACATGATTTGCTGTCCGGGCATCGTGGTCTGGATCTTAACTTAACGATGGTTCCCGATTTGAACGAGGAAGTGGTTCCACCTTATGATTCTTCAAAGGATGGAGAAGTTAATGGGTCAGGTGAGATTCACGGGAATGGCGAAAATACCAGGAGATCCAACGAGCAACAAGGCTTTCTGATCCATACTGGTAATGGAACCACCCACCATTCCCTCATAAAGACCGGGAACTCGAAGGAAGATACTCATGAGAGCAACAGTACTCTCTCCAACATCCGGGAGCCATTGTCGCCACCTCGGGAAGATCTAAACGGTGGCGGGATTGAGCAGAACTTAGAGCATTGCATCAAAACCATCAGGAGACTTGAGTGTGAAGGCCACATTAGCTCTGAGTTTAGATTGAAGCTACTGACATGGTTTTGCGTGAGGTCGACTCAGTATCAACGTCGTATTGTTCATCTTTTCATAGATGCATTCGTTGAGGATCCTGATCAATTGGCCAGACAACTTATTCATTCGTTTCCCGACATAGATTCTTCCAAGAGGCCGAGGAACGGCTGTTCCACCGGTGAGAGCTGACATAACAAAGCTTCAAAGGTGGGTTTTCCGGGTTTGGATCAGGTTTTGGTTCGTTTAATTGAACTGAAACTGAACTAAACTCGGGTTTTGGATCGGGTTTCAGTTCAGTTTGATTGATCTGAAACCCAACTAAACTCAGAAATCGGTTATGTGAAATGCCCACTTCTAGTGTCTTGAAGCTTGGCTTCTGATCATGCAAAGTTTGGTAGAGGCGGTGAAATTTTCCTCTGCTGCATTGGTTTGTCACCGCTGGATGATTGAGAACGATTTCTCGATTGTTTCTCAACCGTTGGATCTTTTGTATAGGCCGATTCATTTTTTGGGCGGTGGGCTTTAGGATTTTGATTATAAGAGGGTTGCTGATTAGGTTTAACCATTGGGGGATATATATTCAGGTGAACAGAAACAAATGGAGACATTATGCTATTTTATATATTACTTTTTATTCCCTTTTATTTATTTAAATTATGTCTGTAGGCATTGTTAAATGATGACAATTCCTGAAACATTTGTCTTTTCTAGTTTTAAACATTATTTAAAAAGAAGACACTATAATACGACCATACTCGCTTACTGTGAGTTTATAGAGGAACCAATATTCGAGATCAATGGGGGTCGTTCGTTTGCATTTCAGTTTACATTTAATTTGAATTGAATTTTGTCTTCGTTTACAATTTTTAATTTTTATTATATTTTTTTATGGGGGTAAGTAAATAGTTTGGTTGGGGTTGGTTAATTTAGATGCGATTAATTCAGATTTTTAAAACTTATGACAAATGACTATTTAACTTTAATCGGTTTAATTTGGTTATATTATATCTAATTAAAATTGCAATAGAATAACAACCAAATCAAAATATTTTCAGATCCCTCTCTAGGGCTTCCGGTTAATTAGGGTGTCAATGGCCCGGCCCGGTCCGAACCCGCATTTGGTCCGAGGGTTTTGGATTCGGGCTCGGGTCGATCCGATTTTTTTCGGGCTTATATCACCAAGCCCGAAGTCCGATCCTATAGATCTCGGGTTTGGATCGGACCGGACCGGCCCGCATGATTTTCTTTATTAATATATTTTTTTCTTAAGATTTTTTTTTTAAATTCGGGCTTTTTCGGCCCAGCCCGAATTGAGCCCGGACTGAAAGTCCAAAAATTTTCGGGCTTCAATATCTCGGCCCGAAACCCGCTATTTTTTGGGTTAGGTCGGGCCGGACTTCGGACCTCGGTCCACAACTGACACCCCTACGGTTAACACAACCTTGGCTCTTCAGATGCCTCTCGTTTGTCACATTGATGCCTAAGGTTTCCGACTGCCCTTGTACGTATTCTTTACACTCTTCCGTTTTTTTAATATTTTCTTGGTGTTAAGTTTTGTTTTTTTTTTTGTTGAAATGTGAATCTATTTACTCCAAAAATGAATTACATATCGGTTTGATAACCTTGAATACAAAGGGAATTAGTACTTCCATGAGTTTTAACAAAAGAGCTTTGTAATTGTTAGGTTTTGTTTGGTAAAATAAAACGATATTACTGCAAATTTAGACACATTTTCATAGTCATCTTCTGTGAAAAACTAATAATGTTACAAACTGTGTGGAAAGAACCAGATTCTTATACTGTATCAAATCTTGTATAATAACAAGTAACAGTTCCTTGTCGGACTCAAGGAACAAGCTTTTATGGCAGATTTAAGCCTCTGCGTGTTAATCACTTGCGGAGTTTTATTATATAATGTCTTTTTTTTCTTTAATTAAATCTGAATTCTGCATAAAAACCTAACGTAATATGGTTTTTTTAAAACTAAACTAATTGAACCCTAATAGAAAAAATTAAAATAAAATGATTTTTTCTAGGAAACGGACATTTATTTGTTTTAATCTAAACTAAATCCAAATAAAACCTAAATGCAACCAAAACCCAACGTAAAATTCGTATCAGTATAGTTTTTTAATTAATACAGTTGTATTGTATGCCAATATATATTTTTGTTTTTAGTTATAACAATCGAACGTCTTAATTCCCTAAATACCAAAACGTGTTCGAAATCTTCGTCTTGCCACGTAGACAAAAACCAAAAGTAGGAGTAAAAAGAGACAAAAGTGAAACCTATAAATACCACAAACACATACACCCATTTCAAACACACACACAAAAAAAAGAAATAAAGTTTAGGCAAAACATATAATGGGAGTCTCAATGACTACGAGACTCGTCTTGACCCTAAGCGTCGTCGTTTTGCTTATCGCCTCGTCCGAGGCTATCTTCCCTTTGCCCTTTCTCCCTTTGCTCCCATGGTTTCGTTTCCCCGGGAGAGGCAATCCCATAGAAACGAACCCGGGAAAAACGCCAACGCCAACGCCAACAACGCCAACGCCAACGCCAACGCCACCTGCGGGCGAAAAACGCTCCAAAAGCGGCGACGTTGTGGCCCAGACAAACTGGCCAGGGAAATGGGAGCTATTCGTGAAGAACTCGGGCGTTTCCGCCATGCACGCAATTCTGATGCCGGTGATAAATAAGGTTCAGATATACGACGCCACCATATGGAGAGTGTCGGGGATGAAACTGCCACCTGGCATGCAGTGCCACGTCATCGATGCGAAGACGAAGAAAGAAGATTGCTGGGCCCACTCTGTTCTCCTCGACGTAGAGACCGGTGCTATGAAGCCTCTTCTGGTATGGATAGTAGTTGTTATATATCTCTTTTGGATTATTTGAATGCATGAACCCTAAACCAATCATGAAATCATACAGCTTCGTTTAGTACTTTGGCATACTAAATAATACGTTATCATGAACGACAGCTAAACACGGACACGTGGTGCTCATCGGGAGGACTATCGGTCAACGGGACATTGGTGAGCACTGGAGGGTTCGGAGGAGGAGCCAACACAGCAAGGTATCTACGTGACTGTGAAAACTGCCCATGGGTCGAATACCCTAAGGCCCTTGCTTCCAGGAGATGGTACTCCACCCAAGCCGCTCTCCCTGATGGCTCCTTCATCGTGGTCGGTGGCCGAGACGCTCAAAATTACGAGTACATCCCTCCCGAAGGAGTTATCAACACAAAGCTCTATGACTCGGCTTTACTCAGGGAAACAACCGACAAGGAAGAGAACAATCTCTACCCTTTTGTTTGGCTCAACACTGACGGTAATCTTTTCATTTTCGCGAATGATCGGTCCATTCTCCTCAGCCCGAAAACGAATCAAGTCATCAAGGAATTCCCTCGACTCCCGGGAGGTGCCCGTAACTACCCTGGAGCCGCGAGTTCAGCCCTGCTCCCGATCCGTCTCTACCTTGTCAACCCGAAAATCATCCCTGCTGAGGTTCTCATATGTGGAGGGGCCAAGAAGGATGCTTACTACAAAGCAGGCAAGAAAATCTTCGAGCCTGCGTTGCAAGATTGTGCAAGAATGAACATCAACAGCCAAAATCCAGTGTGGAAAACTGAGATGATGCCTACTCCTCGTGTAATGGGTGATTCAGTTATCCTCCCAACGGGCGATATCCTCTTTGTCAATGGAGCTAAAAGTGGTTGCTCGGGTTGGGAATATGGTAAAGATCCGATCTTGAAACCCCTCTTGTACATGCCTCGCCTCCGTAGAGGCCAACGTTTCAAGGAGCTTGCTCCCTCCACTATCCCGCGTATGTATCATTCTACTGCTATTGCTCTCCCCGATGGTAAAGTTCTAGTCGGTGGAAGCAATACAAACAACGGATACAAGTACGATGCTGAGTACCCTACTGAACTCAGGATCGAGAAATTCTCTCCGCCTTACCTTGACCCAGCTCTCGCCAACCAGAGGCCGAGGATCGTGGCCAATGGGAGTCCGAAACATGTCAGGTTCGGACAGAAATTCAGCGTGAGGATCCAACTGAACCAAACTAAGTTCCACAAAAACGAGGTGAGGTTGACGATGCTGGCACCTTCTTTTACGACACATAGTATCTCAATGAACATGAGGATGGTCTTGTTGGGGGTCTCAAATGTCGCCCACAATGTCTCCCCCAATGTTCATGAGATTCAAACCTTGGCTCCTCCGAGCGGAAACATTGCTCCTCCTGGTTATTATCTTCTATTCGCCGTTTACAAAGGTGTTCCCAGTGTCGGAGAATGGATTCAGGTTGTCTAGATGATGATGGACTACGAGCTGGTTCATGCTTTATGTGACATCTGATGTTTATATATGAGTACGCACCTGTGCACTTGACTTGGATGTGCTTCCAAGAAGTGAGTAGATTCTTTGATTTGAAATGGCTTGGCTAAGTGTTTCTGTATTCTATTTGTTCCCCGCAAGATGACCCGGTAAAATAAATGAAAAAGAGATTAGTAATTTTTTTTACATATAAACTGTATAAGACTTGTTGTTGTGTCACAGTTAGCGAAAGCAAATGTGTAGAGACCGAAAGCTTTTCGATAAACTTCAACCGAAAAACCTGATAATGCTTTCATCCCGAGACAGACAGGACACAATGTTAGGATTGGACGTGGATAAATCTCTTTAGCAACTAAATTGAGACGAAAAAAATAAATAATTGGACACCGAGAATTTACGTAGTTCGGCAGGGTACCTACGTGCACGGGCGAGGATTAGAAGGATTTATACCGACTGTCAAAGAATTACAACACTTCTCTCTATTATAAGGAGAATACAAGAATAATTCTCTCTTATATAGGAGAAAATAAACACTCAGAAATAAAGAGAAAAAACCCGAAAAAATAGGAGTGACCCGGATTTTTTTTTAGTCTCTCTTTCTTTCTTTTACTCTCTCTTTACCCTGTATGTTTGCTCTTGGTTTGGGATGATCTTCAAATGCTTCGCACGATTGCCTTACATAGGCAGATGAATGGGAAAAACTCTAAAATAGATGGGGCCCACAACTGTTAAAATTTTTCAGCAAATGAGACACCGCTTGCGGCACCGTCTCGCCTCTATCTTTTACCTCCACTTTGAAAAGTGGTTTTGCACGTTTTTCATCACACATAACCGTGAAGAGTCATACAAGTCTTCCAGCAATCATATATTTCTATTTGATCATATATAGGTGCTCCACCAACCGTGCCATTGCAAAGTCCTCAAAGATCTTGGACTACTCTTATGATTAAATGGTCTGATCAAATCAGGCGAAAGCAAGCTTGAATACTTTATTGTCCGGTCCAAGTTGTTGGCGAGAGTTTCGGGAGATATTCTCCAAATATGTTGCGTATATTCAGTTGCTTGTATTTGGTTGGTTCGGCTCTATCATCTCCTGATTTTCTGGAGATTTAGCTTTGTCGATTGCTTGTATATGTACACAGTATTGGAATGACACACGGCGGGCTTTTCCGGGAACTCGTGTTCTATCATGGTATCAGAGCACGAAATTCTCTGTTTAATCTAATTTTCTGCCTCCACACATGTCGACCTCTCCTGACGGCGTTTCTGACTCGACCACCCTCGACCCGACTGCTCAGACGATGT